TTTTATAAACCAACCTTTAATTTATGAACTTTCTCAAAAATTACTGGTTAAGAGAAAGTGTTGAAATATTTATTTGGTGGGTTAAGCGAGACTCATGTAGTAGTGCAATATATAGGCGACTCTCTAGAATCCAGATAGCAAGCTACCTTAATGGATTTTTTCCCTTAAAAAATAGAGTTAATATCGTGTGGGCCAATGACCCACATATCAGATATTAAACTGATAAGAACATATACTACACTTGATCTTAGCCAAAAGACCGAGAAAGGTATGATTTGTAAGTTGGCATAGAAAATCTTTTTAAACTACCAAGTTCTCCACCAACGCTTCTCAAGTTTACTGATGTGGGACTTATTAAATATTCTAAATATTCTTGAGAATTCATATTGAATTTCAATGAGCCTTCTGAACCCAACTTTACAATTGGTGATAGACTATACCTTTCAAAATTATTATTTTCAACCGTGAGGTGAATAAAACAGTCTGTATTTTGTTTCTTGTTGTTTTGAAGTCTTGCTTCACACATGAAACTCAAATCTCCAAGAAGAATAATCAAAAAAATTAAATCAAGGAGAGGATTAGAGTCGAAATCAGTGTGAACAAGTATTTCACAGCAAAAACATTGATGAACTTGGCTAACCAACCCAAGATATACATTTCTTTTTCTTTTATATATTATTCATTGTATTTTTTGTATGGCAAACTTTTTTAAACCAACATTTAATTTATGAACTTTCACAAAAATTATTGGTTAAGAGAAAATGTTGAAATATTTATTTGGCGGGTTAAGCCAGATCCATGTAGTAGTGCAATACATAGGCGACTCTCGAGAATCCAGATAGCAAGCTAATTTAATGGATTTTCTCCCTTACAAAATAAAGTTAATATCATGTGGGCCGATGACCCACATATCAGATATTAAACTGATAAGAACATATACTACACTTGATCTTAGCCAAAAGGCCGAGAAAGGTATGATTTGTAAGTTGGCATAGATACTCTTTTTATACTACCAAGTTCTCCACCAATGATATACCTCTATTTTACCTACTTTTTATGCTATTTTACTATGGTTTTCTAATGGTTTTCTAGTGGATTCTTGTGTTAAAAGGTAGTTTTTATGGATTTATAGTGCAAAGAGTCATTTTAGGTAAAAAGGTGCATTATGGAGCAAAACAGGAGATTTGGACTCTAAACCAGTTCAATGCCCCTGCATCAACTTTGGATGGAGCTAGAAAAAGATCTACTCAATGGATTTCATCAAGACCAGTTCCCTGCGTGCTCTGATTGAGTTAACTTTCCAACGCAAGTGGAACGGCCTCATTTGGATGAGTAGAAAAGGAGTTATAGCCAAAAGAGTGAAGACTGCTCCAGACGGCCATATCGAGAATCAGCGCCGAACGCGCAGACCGGCTGGCCGAGGAACGAATGTTCCGCGCTCGGCCAAAACCGTATTCGTCCGACTGATGTCTCGGCCAAAGTCCAATCCATCGGCCGATCACACACACGACCCGGGAAACATGTCCCGCGGTCGGCCAAGCCACGCCACACCGCGCACGACCACGCGCGAGCCGGGAAACGCCTCGCGGCCGCGCAACTCCTCGCGTACCACGGCCGATGCCGTCCGAGCCGGGAAACGTCCCACGTCCGGCCGAGAAACCATCGGCCAAATTTCACCGTCGACCACAGCCGGCCGACCGATCATCCGGCCACGACCGTTCCGACTCGGCCAAGACCCGACTGTCCGGCCGACGTCCCGACCGACCGTCCGAACGCCGCGGTCGACCCGAAGCCGTTTTTGAAGCCCAATCCGCACAATTCAAGCCCAAAGCCGGCGCCGACCTAGCTAGATTAGGTTTAGCCGCCTTTCATACTTAGAGCATTATAAATACTTCTTTTTAGCCTTGTAACTCAAGAAGGAGAGAGACCACAATCTATTTTACATCTTAATAAAGTTTTGCTTGCTTTTACTTTGTTCTTGCTTGTTACTCTTTCTAGAGAGGATTCGAATCTCTGTTCTTATGAATATGAATTCGTTTCCTTCTCTATGTCTGAGTAGTTTACTTGTTAAGTGATAGGAAGTCAAAGGATAGCATTCATGTATGCTTGATGATTGATCACAATTAGGGTTTTACTTATAATCTCCATCTTTGCTTATACTTAATGCTTGTTGTTAATCTGGCCAATTAGCATATGCCTTTAGGTTGATTTGAGCCTCGACAGTGCTGTATCATTCGCCTGAACTAGTATTTGGTGGGCAATCTCTTTTAGACTGCGAAAGTTGATCTACTTGTAGGTTGTGAACAATTGATCTTGATCGAACTAATGCTTGATTTAATCACCTAGGGACATACCAAAAGTTTAGCGACTAGGTAGATTAACAAAGGGGTCGGAGCCTCGACAGTGGAATGATCATACCATAGTGTTTCAAGTTCTAGATTAGCACCTAAGTGCGGTAACCCTAATTGATTGATTTCATGCTTCTTGAATTGCTTATCTCAAGACTATCCTATTGCTTAGCCCTTTCTCTCCTATTGAATTCTCTTTTATTACTTGCATGCTTTACTTTCTCTGCACTCAACCAACTTATACTTTTGCCCTAGCTTGTTCTCAAACTCATAACTTGTAGTGTGCAATCTGGTCCTCGTGTTCGATACCCGTTTACTACTTCTGACCTGTGCACTTGCAGAATCAGGGATAGGAAAGGGGAAGACCTGATCCCGCGATCAAGTTTTTGGCGCCGTTGCCGGGGACCAATTCGCACCTACAAGCTCTTGCAAGAGAGCTAGTCTAGGGTTTCATCTTTTCCTTTTTGTTTTTGTTATTTTTCCTTTTTTCTTTGATTTTGTTTTTCCTTTTTGGTTTTTCCTTTTTGTTTTTAGCTTTTCAGGTTTTCCTAGTTAGATATGGAGAAGGAGCCACAAGCCTCTTCCCCTATAAAGGCGATGCCAATTCGCCACATACCACCTCAAAGCACCTCTTGAGCGAACAAGAGATGTTAAGCCCTCAAGCACCACCACCTTCATGGGATAGTCCTCCAAGACCATCCACTTTGAAGACAAAGAAGAAACTTCTTCCTTACCTTGAAGCAGCCGACCTGGAGACGTCTAGCCAAGCCGCATCACACCAAGAAGAACCTTCTAGCCACACCAGAAGAGGAGATTAACCCTGAGCTGATCGAGTTCGTGAAGAGAGATCAATTCCATGATCTGTTTTCAGAGTATGCGCTGGAGCACATAGATCACTTTGACAATCTTTGTGATTCCTATGGAGTTTTTGACTTTGAGAAGAAGATGATGCTATTCAGCACATCACTAGCTGGACCAGCACTAGATTGGGCGCAGCATGAGCCACCTCTACAATCGAGTCATGGATCGATTTTAGAGAAGCTTTCTTGGAGATTTGCAAGGAACCACCTTTCAAATCCAAGTACCACCACTACTCTCATCAGCTGGAGAGAGAGCGTGATGAAGAAGAATGGGGAGGCATACCACCTCATCCTGAAGTTCTGAATGAAGAGCTAATCAAGCATGTGGAGAGGAATCCTTTCTACAATTCTATTCAGAATGTGCAAAGGAGCATCTATGCAACTTTGAGCAGCTTTGCATGACTATGGACTTGGAGACAACCCCAAGAAGATACAACTTTTCCAACTATCTCTAGCTGGACAAGCCAAAGACTGGGCTAAGTTCAATGCCCAACATGCTTTCAAGACTTGGAATGGATACAAAGGAGCTTTCCTCACAGATTTGCAAAGGTCCTGTTTATGTTCCACCACCACGCCCAAGCTATTCACAATACCATCCATCATCACCAGACATAAACAAGACACCACTTTTCCCAAGGGAGAGCTACCAAGCTGCGCGCCAAACCAAGATTGAAGAGATGCTTCAAGAGTACTTGAGAAATCAAGAAGAGAGTACAAAGAAGATGGAGAGAAGAATCGATTTCATCCATGAGAGCCTTGGAAACAAATCTGAAGTCCTATTCAAGCAAGTGATCAAGCTTGATGAAGACATTAAGAAGTTAAGAGAGGATCATGATCGATCTTTGACCCTAGTTAAGCTTGATGTTGCTTCCAAATATCAAGAGTTGCTGAACAAGAGCATGAGAATTGAAGATACTAGCTATGGCAATAGCAAACATCTTGGTTCGATCTACAACCGCCTACAAGCCCTTGAAGGATCATCTCATGCCAATTACAAGAGAGAGAGGAGTCCAACACCCAACCACCCTCCCTTTTATTGCAATGCCATCACAAGAAGAAGCACTACTCAAGTCCATGAGGACAATGAAGAAGAAGAAAGAGAGTATGAGGAACAATTGAATGATGAAGATGAAGAGCAGAGCATCGACATCAATGCTTCCCCAAAACAGAGCATGGATACACCAAGCCCTAGAGACCCTCGTTTCTCACCAAGAAGTCAAGCTTCTACACTTCCAAGACTGGAAGCAATGCAAAGACCATCACCACCTACTGAAGAAGAAGATACTTGGCAGTATGATCCCATTGATCCCAACAAGATAAGCCCCATGAAGCTTAAAGAGTTCAATGCTAAGGTGAAATCACTTCCATTCTATGTCACTTTTGAAGAAGCTTGGGATAAACATGGTCTAGTGGAGTTCTTTTTCACAACTAGTGAAAACAAAGAAGAGATACACCAACTTTCAGGAAGGCTCGATTTCCCATTGCCCCTCATGGAGTCAATCAACCACCATCACCACCATCATCACCACCACCCAAGTGGTATGTCAATTCCATATCAAGAGAGAAGCTTGCTGAGTTCAATCAGTTTGTCCAAACTCTTCCAGCCAGCATGTCTTTCAAAGAAGCTTGGCGCCACTACCCATTCACCCCTTTCTTCCACAACTGCAAGGAGACACCTGAGGACATAAAAGAGCTTTTTGAGAAAGCTAAAGTTCAGCCACCTTCAAGACCCTCTACAAGATTGAAGACCCAGGTCAATTCTCTATTCCCTGTCAAGTAAATGGTCATTACTTTGATAGAACACTATGCGATTCTGGCTCTTGCATAAACCTCATGCCAACCCAAACCGCCAAACTCCTTGGCATCACACGCTTGCAACCTGCTCAAATTAGTATTGGACTTGCTAACCATACTATAGCCAAGCCAAGAGGAGTTGTTATTGATGTTCTTCTAGAGATTGGAGATATCAAGATCCCGGTGGACTTTCATGTCATAAACATTCAAGGAGGATGTGACACACCATTGATACTAGGCCGACCCTTTTTGGCCACTGCTGGAGCTGTCATGGACCTTCCAAACCGGCGAATGTCCTTAGCCAATGTGACAAGACAGTCTTTTACAAGACCATACCATTCATCGCACCAAACAAGCTGTCTTACCTCATCACTGCCCAAGGCCGCCCAAGAGAGCCACCAGACCACACTCAAGGTCACAATGAGACAAGAACTAAAAGACTATGTCTCAGGCCGTGCCCTTACCCCATCTCCAACTAAGAGATCCTATCAGTCAAGCTAATGACTCAAAAGAAGCGCTGCATGGGAGGCAACCCATGAAAGGTGTTTTTCTTTACTTTTCTTTTCAATTAGTTTTAGTTAATGTCTAGTTTTGTTTTGAGTTTGGAAACAGGAATCTAAGAACCACACAATGGTAAAGAAGATATACCACAAGAAGAATGTTCATAGTTGGCGCGACTTAGATGGCCGAGCAGAACCTCTCCACGCTCGCCCATGTCCTCTCAAGCCGCCCAACACACCATCCCATCTCATTCCATCTGCATCTCACCCATCCCACCTCACCACACTTGCATTCCATCACTACCATCATTCCACTGCATTCACCATTCTTCAAGTAACACAAATCAGGTTACATCTTTCTTTTTACATTCACAACCACTTTATTACCTCTTTCTTTAACTCCCTTAATTGGATTTTCTTTCACCGGGACGGTGCAAGTTAAGTCTGGGGGGATTGTCGGTACTAATGTGTTTGTTCATGGTTGTTTTGATCTTATAATTGGTTTTTCCTAACCCACTTTTTCAAAACTTCTGTTTTATTGAGTCAAAACCAGTCCGGGAACAATGAACTTGCTTTGAGATTTGATAGTGTCATGCTAACAATCTATGACCCTAGAGCAAACATCAGCTGAAGGCACAAGCCTAACAGAAGCTCCTAGAGTGGATCAGCATGCTAGCTCAGCGAAATTTCTAAGGTAACCAAGCAATCTAGAGTTAACCTCACCCTTAATCAATCTTAATAACTCTTGTCAAGGGGATTGGCATACATGTCGACAGTTCCTTGCTTGATTTTCAATGAGATTTGTCTAAAGAGTTCACCTCTCTCTCCCATCCCAAATGGTAAGTAATGTTTATGAGAAAAGCTCAAAGAGCACAAGGAAAACAAGTAAGCATGAGGAATGCATATGTCTGTACCTTCATGTCTTATGGAATACCTTATCAAACAAGGAACAAGCTAAAGACTTATCCTGTGGTTGAAAGAAAGGTCAATAGAAAAAATAAAATGATACCCTAGAAAAGTAGGGAGAAATTGACCTTTCAAAGTTCTGATGTGAGAAAGAGAGAGGAAAGGAACTCATTGCACTTCAAAGACAATCTTGGAGAAGATCAAGTGGGTAAGAACAAGTTCAATTGATCGATTTTCCCTTGATAAAGAACTCACGCTTTAAATTTCTGCAAGAGGTTAACAATAGAGAGTTTGGATTGCTGGATGAGACTAGTTGGGTTGGTATTGTTGCTAAACTTGCAGGGTGTATGTGAAGCTAACCTTATGTTGACTATGTTCTTAGTGGAATACAGGAAAGGAACCTTTCACAGGATTTTCAAAGAAGCAAGAGAGTTCCCACGTTTTTCAAAACCTCTTCACTAGTTTAGATTCTTTTTGCTTGGGGACAAGCAAAGATCTAAGTCTGGGGGAGTTGATATACCTCTATTTTACCTACTTTTTATGCTATTTTACTATGGTTTTCTAATGGTTTTCTAGTGGATTCTTGTGTTAAAAGGTAGTTTTTATGGATTTATAGTGCAAAGAGTCATTTTAGGTAAAAAGGTGCATTATGGAGCAAAACAGGAGATTTGGACTCTAAACCAGTTCAATGCCCCTGCATCAACTTTGGATGGAGCTAGAAAAAGATCTACTCAATGGATTTCATCAAGACCAGTTCCCTGCGTGCTCTGATTGAGTTAACTTTCCAACGCAACTGGAATGGCTTCATTTGGATGAGTAGAAAAGGAGTTATAGCCAAAAGAGTGAAGGCTGCTCCAGACGGCTATATCGAGAATCAGCGCCGAACGCGCAGACCGGCTGGCCGAGGAACGAATGTTCCGCGCTCGGCCAAAACCGTATCCGTCCGACTGAAGTCTCGGCCAAAGTCCAACCACTCGGCCGATCACACAGCACGACCCGGGAAACATTGCCCGCGGTCGGCCACGCCACGCCACGCCGCGCACGACCAACCGCGCGAGCCGGGAAACGCCTCGCGGCCGCGCAACTCACTCGCGTACCACGGCCGATGCATCCGTCCGAGCCGGGAAAACGTCCCACGTCCGGCCGAGAAACCATCGGCCAAATTTCACCCTCGACCACAGCCGGCCGACCGATCATCCGGCCCGACCGTTCCGACTCGGCCAAGACCCGACTGTCCGGCCGACCGTCCCGACGACCGTCCGAACGCCGCGGTCGACCCGAAGCCGTTTTTGAAGCCCAATCCGCACAATTCAAGCCCAAAGCCGGCGCCGACCTAGCTAGATTAGGTTTAGCCGCCTTTCATACTTAGAGCATTATAAATACTTCTTTTTAGCCTTGTAACTCAAGAAGGAGAGAGACCACAATCTATTTTACATCTTAATAAAGTTTTGCTTGCTTTTACTTTGTTCTTGCTTGTTACTCTTTCTAGAGAGGATTCGAATCTCTGTTCTTATGAATATGAATTCGATTTCCTTCTCTATGTCTGAGTAGTTTACTTGTTAAGTGATAGGAAGTCAAAGGATAGCATTCATGTATGCTTGATGATTGATCACAATTAGGGTTTTACTTATAATCTCCATCTTTGCTTATACTTAATGCTTGTTGTTAATCTGGCCAATTAGCATATGCCTTTAGGTTGATTTGAGCCTCGACAGTGCTGTATCATTCGCCTGAACTAGTATTTGGTGGGCAATCTCTTTTAGACTGCGACAGTTGATCTACTTGTAGGTTGTGAACAATTGATCTTGATCGAACTAATGCTTGATTTAATCACCTAGGGACATACCAAAAGTTTAGCGACTAGGTAGATTAACAAAGGGGTCGGAGCCTCGACAGTGGAATGATCATACCATAGTGTTTCAAGTTCTAGATTAGCACCTAAGTGCGGTAACCCTAATTGATTGATTTCATGCTTCTTGAATTGCTTATCTCAAGACTATCCTATTGCTTAGCCTTTCTCTCCTATTGAATCTCACTTTTTATTACTTGCATGCTTTACTTTCTCTGCACTCAACCAACTTATACTTTTGCCCTAGCTTGTTCTCAAACTCATAACTTGTAGTGTGCAATCTGGTCCTTGTGTTCGATACCCGTTTACTACTTCTGACCTGTGCACTTGCAGAATCAGGGATAGGAAAAGGGAAGACCTGATCCCGCGATCAACCAACGCTTCGCAAGTTTACCGATGTGGGACTTATTAAATATTCTAAATAATCTTGAGAATTCATATTGAATTTCAATGAGCCATCTAAACCCAACTTTACAATTAGTGATAGACTATACCTTTTAAAATTACTATTTTCAAACGTGAAATGAATAAAACAGTCTGTGTTTTGTGTCTTGTTGTTTTGAAGTTTTGCTTCAGACATGAAACTCAAATCTCCAACAAGAATAATCAAAAAAATTAAATCAAGGAGAGGAATTAGAGTCGAAATCCGGTGAACAAGTTTTTCACAGCAAAAACATTGATGAACATGGCTAACCAACCCAAGATATACATTTCTTTTTCTTTTATATATTATTCATTGTATTTTTGTATGGCTAACTTTTATAAACCAACCTTTAATTTATGAACTTTCTCAAAAATTACTGGTTAAGAGAAAATGTTGAAATATTTATTTGGCGGGTTAAGCCAAACCCATGTAGTAGTGCAATACATAGGCGACTCTCGAGAATCCAGATAGCAAGCTACCTTAATGGATTTTCTCCCTTAAAAAATAGAGTTAATATCGTGTGGGCCGATGACCCACATATCAGATATTAAACTGATAAGAACATATACTACACTTGATCTTAGCCAAAAGGCCGAGAAAGGTATGATTTGTAAGTTGGCATATACTCTTTTTATACTACCAAGTTCTCCACCAACGCTTCTCAAGTTTACCGATGTGGGACTTATTAAATATTCTAAATAATCTTGAGAATTCATATTGAATTTCAATGAGCCATCTAAACCCAACTTTACAATTGGTGATAGACTATACCTTTTAAAATTACTATTTTCAAACGTGAAATGAATAAAACAGTCTGCGTTTTGTTTCTTGTTGTTTTGAAGTTTGCTTCAGACATGAAACTCAAATCTCCAACAAGAATAATCAAAAAAATTAAATCAAGGAGAGGATTAGAGTCGAAATCCGTGTGAACAAGTTTTTCACAGCAAAAACATTGATGAACATGGCTAACCAACCCAAGATATACATTTCTTTTTCTTTTATATATTATTCATTGTATTTTTGTATGGCTAACTTTTATAAACCAACCTTTAATTTATGAACTTTCTCAAAAATTACTGGTTAAGAGAAAATGTTGAAATATTTATTTGGCGGGTTAAGCCAGGCCCATGTAGTAGTGCAATACATAGGCGACTCTCGAGAATCCAGATAGCAAGCTACCTTAATGGATTTTCTCCCTTAAAAAATAGAGTTAATATCGTGTGGGCCGATGACCCACATATCAGATATTAAACTGATAAGAACAGATACTACACTTGATCTTAGCCAAAAGGCCGAGAAAGGTATGATTTGTAAGTTGGCATAGATACTCTTTTTATACTACCAAGTTCTCCACCAACGCTTCTCAAGTTTACCGATGTGGGACTTATTAAATATTCTAAATAATCTTGAGAATTCATATTGAATTTCAATGAGCCATCTAAACCCAAGTTTACAATTGGTGATAGACTATACCTTTTAAAATTATTATTTTCAACGTGAAGTGAATAAAACAGTCTGTGTTTTGTTTCTTGTTGTTTTGAAGTCTTGCTTCAGACATGAAACTCAAATCTCCAAGAAGAATAATCAAAAAAATTAAATCAAGGAGAGGATTAGAGTCGAAATCCGTGTGAACAAGTATTTCACAGCAAAAACATTGATGAACATGGCTAACCAACCCAGATATACATTTATTTTTCTTTTATATATTATTCATTGTATTTTTGTATGGCTAACTTTTATAAACCAACCTTTAATTTATGAACTTTCTCAAAAATTACTGGTTAAGAGAAAATGTTGAAATATTTATTTGGCGGGTTAAGCCAGGCCCATGTAGTAGTGCAATACATAGGCGACTCTCGAGAATCCAGATAGCAAGCTACCTTAATGGATTTTCTCCCTTAAAAAATAGAGTTAATATCGTGTGGGCCGATGACCCACATATCAGATATTAAACTGATAAGAACAGATACTACACTTGATCTTAGCCAAAAGGCCGAGAAAGGTATGATTTGTAAGTTGGCATAGATACTCTTTTTATACTACCAAGTTCTCCACCAACGCTTCTCAAGTTTACCGATGTGGGACTTATTAAATATTCTAAATAATCTTGAGAATTCATATTGAATTTCAATGAGCCATCTAAACCCAAGTTTACAATTGGTGATAGACTATACCTTTCAAAATTATTATTTTCAACCGTGAAGTGAATAAAACAGTCTGTGTTTTGTTTCTTGTTGTTTTGAAGTCTTGCTTCAGACATGAAACTCAAATCTCCAAAAGAATAATCAAAAAATTAAATCAAGGAGAGGATTAGAGTCGAAATCCGTGTGAACAAGTATTTCACAGCAAAAACATTGATGAACATGGCTAACCAACCCAGGATATACATTTATTTTTCTTTTATATATTATTCATTGTATTTTTGTATGGCTAACTTTTATAAACCAACCTTTAATTTATGAACTTTCTCAAAAATTACTGGTTAAGAGAAAATGTTGAAATATTTATTTGGCGGGTTAAGCCAGGCCCATGTAGTAGTGCAATACATAGGCGACTCTCGAGAATCCAGATAGCAAGCTACCTTAATGGATTTTCTCCCTTAAAAAATAGAGTTAATATCGTGTGGGCCGATGACCCACATATCAGATATTAAACTGATAAGAACAGATACTACACTTGATCTTAGCCAAAAGGCCGAGAAAGGTATGATTTGTAAGTTGGCATAGATACTCTTTTTATACTACCAAGTTCTCCACCAACGCTTCTCAAGTTTACCGATGTGGGACTTATTAAATATTCTAAATAATCTTGAGAATTCATATTGAATTTCAATGAGCCATCTAAACCCAAGTTTACAATTGGTGATAGACTATACCTTTCAAAATTATTATTTTCAACCGTGAAGTGAATAAAACAGTCTGTGTTTTGTTTCTTGTTGTTTTGAAGTCTTGCTTCAGACATGAAACTCAAATCTCCAACAAGAATAATCAAAAAAAATTAAATCAAGGAGAGGATTAGAGTCGAAATCCGTGTGAACAAGTATTTCACAGCAAAAACATTGATGAACATGGCTAACCAACCCAGGATATACATTTATTTTTCTTTTATATATTATTCATTGTATTTTTGTATGGCTAACTTTTATAAACCAACCTTTAATTTATGAACTTTCTCAAAAATTACTGGTTAAGAGAAAATGTTGAAATATTTATTTGGCGGGTTAAGCCAGGCCCATGTAGTAGTGCAATACATAGGCGACTCTCGAGAATCCAGATAGCAAGCTACCTTAATGGATTTTCTCCCTTAAAAAATAGAGTTAATATCGTGTGGGCCGATGACCCACATATCAGATATTAAACTGATAAGAACAGATACTACACTTGATCTTAGCCAAAAGGCCGAGAAAGGTATGATTTGTAAGTTGGCATAGATACTCTTTTTATACTACCAAGTTCTCCACCAACGCTTCTCAAGTTTACCGATGTGGGACTTATTAAATATTCTAAATAATCTTGAGAATTCATATTGAATTTCAATGAGCCATCTAAACCCAAGTTTACAATTGGTGATAGACTATACCTTTTAAAATTATTATTTTCAACCGTGAAGTGAATAAAACAGTCTGTGTTTTGTTTCTTGTTGTTTTGAAGTCTTGCTTCAGACATGAAACTCAAATCTCCAACAAGAATAATCAAAAAAATTAAATCAAGGAGAGGATTAGAGTCGAAATCCGTGTGAACAAGTATTTCACAGCAAAAACATTGATGAACATGGCTAACCAACCCAGGATATACATTTATTTTTCTTTTATATATTATTCATTGTATTTTTGTATGGCTAACTTTTATAAACCAACCTTTAATTTATGAACTTTCTCAAAAATTACTGGTTAAGAGAAAATGTTGAAATATTTATTTGGCGGGTTAAGCCAGGCCCATGTAGTAGTGCAATACATAGGCGACTCTCGAGAATCCAGATAGCAAGCTACCTTAATGGATTTTCTCCCTTAAAAAATAGAGTTAATATCGTGTGGGCCGATGACCCACATATCAGATATTAAACTGATAAGAACAGATACTACACTTGATCTTAGCCAAAAGGCCGAGAAAGGTATGATTTGTAAGTTGGCATAGATACTCTTTTTATACTACCAAGTTCTCCACCAACGCTTCTCAAGTTTACCGATGTGGGACTTATTAAATATTCTAAATAATCTTGAGAATTCATATTGAATTTCAATGAGCCATCTAAACCCAACTTTACAATTGGTGATAGACTATACCTTTTAAAATTATTATTTTCAACGTGAAGTGAATAAAACAGTCTGTGTTTTGTTTCTTGTTGTTTTGAAGTCTTGCTTCAGACATGAAACTCAAATCTCCAACAAGAATAATCAAAAAAATTAAATCAAGGAGAGGATTAGAGTCGAAATCCGTGTGAACAAGTATTTCACAGCAAAAACATTGATGAACATGGCTAACCAACCCAGGATATACATTTATTTTTCTTTTATATATTATTCATTGTATTTTTGTATGGCTAACTTTTATAAACCAACCTTTAATTTATGAACTTTCTCAAAAATTACTGGTTAAGAGAAAATGTTGAAATATTTATTTGGCGGGTTAAGCCAGGCCCATGTAGTAGTGCAATACATAGGCGACTCTCGAGAATCCAGATAGCAAGCTACCTTAATGGATTTTCTCCCTTAAAAAATAGAGTTAATATCGTGTGGGCCGATGACCCACATATCAGATATTAAACTGATAAGAACAGATACTACACTTGATCTTAGCCAAAAGGCCGAGAAAGGTATGATTTGTAAGTTGGCATAGATACTCTTTTTATACTACCAAGTTCTCCACCAACGCTTCTCAAGTTTACCGATGTGGGACTTATTAAATATTCTAAATAATCTTGAGAATTCATATTGAATTTCAATGAGCCATCTAAACCCAACTTTACAATTGGTGATAGACTATACCTTTCAAAATTATTATTTTCAACCGTGAAGTGAATAAAACAGTCTGTGTTTTGTTTCTTGTTGTTTTGAAGTCTTGCTTCAGACATGAAACTCAAATCTCCAACAAGAATAATCAAAAAAATTAAATCAAGGAGAGGATTAGAGTCGAAATCCGTGTGAACAAGTATTTCACAGCAAAAACATTGATGAACATGGCTAACCAACCCAGGATATACATTTTTTTTCTTTTATATATTATTCATTGTATTTTTGTATGGCTAACTTTTATAAACCAACCTTTAATTTATGAACTTTCTCAAAAATTACTGGTTAAGAGAAAATGTTGAAATATTTATTTGGCGGGTTAAGCCAGGCCCATGTAGTAGTGCAATACATAGGCGACTCTCGAGAATCCAGATAGCAAGCTACCTTAATGGATTTTCTCCCTTAAAAAATAGAGTTAATATCGTGTGGGCCGATGACCCACGGATTGAACCACCTCCTGGCTCATTGGCATTAAAACAAGCAGTGTGGAAGATGAAGACAGCACCAAAGGTACAACATTTTCTATGGAAAGTTATTTCAGGAGCGGTACCAACTGGAGAAAGATTATGTTCACGAGGTCTGAATTTAGATCCTATTTGTCAAAGATGTTGTTTGCATGATGAAACAATAAATCACTTGTTGTTTGAATGTCAACATGCACAATCAATATGGAGATGTGCAAACTTTTCGACATTTGATGCAACAAACATGGATCTTGAAGACAACATTCGAAGAATGATGTCCATAATGGACCAATCCCAATTGCCGAATGAGGTACGTCTGTTACCTATCTGGATTGTGTGGATGATCTGGAAATCACGAAATGAATTTCTCTTTCAACAGAAAACTTCACATCCTCATATGGAAGCCAACAAAGGAATCAACGCGTTAGCTAAATGGTTGCAGGCAAACCCAGTGGAACAGCAACAAAGACATGATCGCAGGCATCCCTTGTCTCAATGGGAACCGCCACCTCAACATTTCCTTAAATGTAATTTTGATAGTAGCTACTGTCGGGATTTGGATTACATGAGAGTTGGTTGGCTTGTAAGAGATTCTCATGGTGCTTGTCTAGATGCAGGTTGGGCAAAACTACACAAAGTGGATTCAGCTTTGGAAGCAAAAGCAACTGGGTTTTTATATGTTGTTCAGCGTATCTGGAGTAGAGGATGGAGGCACATTTGGTTTGAAGGTGACAATAAGGATCTTACGTCTATCATCAACAAGCAACAACATCATGTGGAGTTAGGTAATTTAATTTTTGATATTCGTCACTGGATACAAAAATTACCTCTTTGCTCTTTAGACCACGTAAATCGTGAGAAGAATTAGGCAGCAGATGTTCTTTCAAAATTTGTTCATAATGATCCTCTTGTTTCTTATATGTTTTATGTGACTCCTCCATCTTGGTTGGTGAGTTATTTGTATTACTCATTTACTATCTAATCTAATAAAATCAGATGTTACAAAAAAGAAACATTAAATCTAAACTCTAAACCCTAATCTAAGATTAGTGAACCCAAACAAATATATTAAAATTGGAAAAAGGTATATTTTTGAAAACTTCCACACTATAGGTGTAGTTTTGAAAATTTAGACCTCAAGAGGTGTATTTCATAAAATTTATCTACATAATTTTGTACTGATTGTCGCTGTCCTTTATTTATTTTTTTATTATCATATTTTATTGATCGTATTTGTTACATTTTATTTATATTATAATGAGAGTTTTCTATTTCTATGATTTAAAGAAAATATTATAAACATTACTTATTTTTCTTAATCCGTTTTTGCAAAATATTCTTTAAATAAATATTCTAAAACTGCGCACATAACTAAACACTCCCACCACCCCACTCCCCACCCCATTCCCCACCTATAAATATTATGATCCCAACATTATTACTTTATAGAGCTTTTACTGTACATATTATTTATTTCTTGCGAATAATTGTTTATTAATTGTATCATATCAGATCTTCCAAATTCTATTAGCTACGAAAGCATGTACTGTTAATTTTCTAGCATAGAAACTGTTCCAAAAATCAGAAAACTAAATATTAGATACAAATATTTATATAAAAATTTCGAAAAATAATGAATAAAAAGTAAATCGTTAGAGCTAACTGAACAAATGTAAAACACAAACTATTATGAGAAGAGAAATTGGCAAAACTTAAAATTATAAATCACGACAAAAACGAAGAAGAGCTTATTGTGTTGTTGTCGCTATCTCTTAATATATTAGATGGTCGGGTAAGAAACTAGGGTTTCAATAAATATAAATTTTCCAAAATTGTGGTACGATCATATTGTAGTTAGGGTTTAACTCATTTAATATATTGCAGAATAAATTTGTAGATGATTTTTAAAAGGCGATAAGATGTTTAAATAATTAAGAATAAAGTATTTACTTTGAATAGAAGGAAAAGCAATACTTTTTTAAAGTGTTATCTTAAATATTTCTTTTTTAATTAAGAAAACGAATTGATAAAAAAGGAAAATTTTAAGATATGGTTTTGTGCAAAAAAACCAAACAATTTAATTAATTTTGCAAATCTAACCCTCAATTTTTTTTTGTGCAGAAACAAACTTAATCCTTATGGATACAGTGTTGAGTTGTTGTTATTTACATTTTTGTATACTAGTGAAGAGTAGTCAATCGATAATTGACAAGAGCAAGATGACTTTGAGCAATGGAAGTTGGACCGCAACATCGTTGAGAAATGGTAGATACAGAGCAGAGGTCTGAGTGATACAAAACCTCGGATTGGTTTGTACCATATTTGATTTAATGTATTTGATTTGCACAAAACTAATATGAGGTTTATATTTGCAAATTTAATTTGGTTTGCAGATTTTTGTATAAAATTCACTTCAACCAAATGTAACGTTTTGAGTCATGTTAACTTCTAATAATGAATATACAGAGAGTATTTTAAGCGGATCACGTTCGATCTCATGGTTTTAATTTGCACAGAAAAAAAACTTACAATTAGATTTGCAAATTTAATTTAGTTTGGAAATTATTTTGCACAAAACTCTAGATATATATATACACTAGGGGCTGCATTTCATGCAGGAATTTATATTGTTGCATTAATTTAATTGTTTTTGCAAATATAATTTATTTTATAGCTATTATTGTTTAAAAATATACACACAATAATTAAATATAATTAAGGTTAGGCAAAATTCTTGTCAATTTTGTCTTATCTTGTCCTATTTTCGTTCATTTTCATCATGTCTATCTTTCCCATCCCGTCCGTCATGTATGTCCCGTCCCGTCCAATCCAATCATATCCCATTATGTTCTTTTCCATTTTGTTATGTCTTATCTCGTTCCTTCTGTTTCTTCTCGTCCCGTTCCCTAAATATAATTAGGGGTAGGCAAAATTCCTATTTAGTCCCATCCTGTCCAATTCCGTTCATTTTCATCTTGTCCCGTTCGTCCTGTCCTCCCCGTCCAGTCTCATCCTATCCTATTATGTTTTTTCCGTTTTGTCCTATCTATGTCCCGTCCATAAATATAATTAGGGGTATGCGAAAGTCCCGTCCCATTATTTCCTGTCCCATAATGTCCATTTTCATCTTGTCTCGTCTAATCTTGTCTCATTCCGTTTCTTTTCATCCCGTCTTATCCAACATGTCCGTCTTGTCCCGTCCAATCCCATCATATCCCATTTCGTTCATTTCCGTCTTGTCATGTCTCTTCATGTTTCTTTCATTTCTTCGAGTTATGTCCCTAAATATATTTAAGGGTAGGAGAAATATATGTCTTGTCCTATCATGTCCCTTTCCGTTCCTTTATATTCTGTCTTGTCATTTAATATAAAAAAAAGTAGACAAAATTCATCTTTTCTAGTGTTCTGTTTTTTCGTCTCGTTCTGCCGGTCTTACCTGATTTTGTCTCAAAATACTTAAAAACAATATTCTTTCTATAATATATTGAGAATTACTAAATAATAGATTTTATACAATTATTAGGAGGTGATCCGCGCTTCGCGCGGGAATTTATATTATTGTGTTAATTTTATTGTTTTTCGCAAATTTAATTTATTTATGGTTTATTATTGTTTCAAAAATATTACACATATTAATTAAAAATAATTAGGGTTAGGCAAAATTAATGTACCGTCTTGTCCCATCGTATCCCATTTCGTTCATTTTCATCATGTCCGTTCTCTCTTCCCGTCCCGTCCTATCCCATTATGTTCCTTTCATTTTGTTATGTCTCATCATGTTCCTTCCGTTTCTTCTCGTCCCGTTCCTAAATATAACTAAGGATAGGCAAAATTCCCGTATAGTCTCATCCCGTCCCATTTCATTCCTTCTCATCTTGTCCCGTTCTTTCCTCGTCCCGTTCCGTCCTGTCCGCCCTATCGAGTCTCATCTATCTGTTGTGTTTTTTTTTCGTTTTGTCGTGTCTCTGTCCTATCCCTAAATATAATTAGGGGTAGGTGAAATTTCTGTCCCGTCCCTTCTCGTCCCATTATGTCCCTTTCATCCCGTCCTGTCCAATCCCGTCTCATTCCTTTTTTTCATCTCGTCATGTCTAATTTGTTTGTCTCGTCCCGTCCAGTCTTATCCCGTTTCATTATGTTTCTTTCCGTCTTGTCCTCATCATGTTCCTTTCGTTTTTTTCTATTCCGTCTCTAAATATAATTTGAAGTAGGCAAAATTATGTGGTATCCCATTCCTTTTTGTTCATTTACATCCCATCTCGTCATTTAATATAATAAGAAGTGGACAAAATTCATTTCTTCTCTGTTATGTTTTTTTCGTCTCATCCTGTCGGTCATCTCATTTCATCCCAAAATACTTTAAAAAATCAGTGTTCTTTATATAATATCTTGACATCAACGTAAATTATATAATCTAACAAAAATAAATTTACTAAATAATAGTTTTTGTAGATCTATACATAATTTTCTCCTTTTTAAAAAATGACTTTTCATATTCTTGTTAAACTTATTATAGTAATGAATGCTAATTATTATGAAATTAAAATATTAAAAAGAAAAATATAATAAATTAAATAAAGTGCTGATGTGGCGAATTGGAGAATTTAGAAACAACGAGAGAGGAGCATGAACTTTATATATATAGATATAAAATCTTTCTTCTTTTTGTAAATAATTTTTTATATTCTTGTTAAATCTATTTAATGAATAATAACTATTATAAAAATTAAAATAAAAAAATAAAATATATGATATATTTAATGTTTGTGTTGAAATGATTCATTTAGAGATACCCTATTTTATTGAGGTGGCAAGAGAGAATCCCTTCAAACTTTTTATTTATATACAGATTTTTTTTTTTTTTCTTAAGCGGGCTCAGTTTTCAAAACTCTCAAAAGATTTTTTTTCGTTTTGGTGGTTTTTAATTGCTGAGAAAAATCTGAAGGTTGGCGGTGTTCCCGTCAGAAGATCACGAGGATCATATTTAACATTGTTTCTTCTTTTTGTTTTTTTGAAACAGTTTCTTGTAACTCTCTCTCTCTGGTCCGTTTATATCTCCACTTTAGAAAAAAAATCTGTCGAAAAGTTAATGCTCACACTCGTTTCTCACCACTTACGACAACTTTAGGTGTTCGTTCCATTTGCAAAATTAGTCGACTTCTCTCGATTCTTTTCTCTTTAACACTGTTTCGTTTTCACTATCCCCAAAATCGAATCTGGGTTTAACAGTCTCCATTTTTCTTATCTGGGTATTTCTCAAGCTGATCTTTTTAGTTTCTGATCTACGACTTCTCCTTCAATTCCCTTGAAATTTTCCAAATAATAGTTCAAAAGTTGGAGAATCTGGGTTGTTCTGAAAATCATGGAGTTTTGCTGTCCATCCATGAAGCTTCAGTGTTCGAGTCCCTTTGGTCTGAACAAAATGGTAGTTTCTGGCTCTCAGAGAGTTACTACGTTCTGGGGAGCCGAAGTTGTCAAGGCCAAAAATCTGAGGACACAGAAAATTAGGAGTGGACCTCAAAAGATTCAGACAAAGCTCATTCGCTCTGTTCTCTCCCCATTTGTTGATCAAGAGTCTCATGTAAGTAATTGCACTTGCATTCTCAAAAACAAAACAGAAGATTTGTTTTGGTTATGTTGGATCTTTTATTTTGTAATCTCTCTTTATGCTCTAAGTGTAATTCAGTGGATTTTAATTTGTGTTGTGGTTTGGCCAGAACGAATGAATAATACTTCTACTAGTAAATTTGAATCTGCCTGCATCAGATAGTCTGAATTTTAGTTGGAATTTTGATTTGGGCTGTGTTAAGAACTGCTGTTGACAAGTGCCAGTCTCTGTCTAATATTAGATTTGACCAGAGGTGGTTACTTTTTTGGATGACTTAAGTAGAAGTTAAGCCAAAAACATAATGGGTCGACTTGAAGAAGTGTAGTTACTCAAGCATTAGCTATAAAGGATCCTAAAAGGTGTGGACTTTTAGGTTTTGGTTGGGCAAGAGAATCTCTCATTCTCATCAATCAAGTTTTAGTTTTACACAGAAGTCCCTTACTAGCTTTCTCTTTCTTCCAAGTTATGTTTTTGATATAAGGAATGCATATTTTCAGGAACCTCTCTTGAGAACACCAATTGCAGATCCAAAGAACATAGCTTCTATCATACTAGGTGGCGGTGCTGGGACTCGCTTGTTCCCCCTTACAAGCAAAAGAGCTAAACCTGCTGTGAGGAGCCTTTTTGTTTACACCATTGCGCTTTTAATGATTCTGATTCATTGTCAATGAGGTTTTGAACCTTTTCCTGATACTTGTAGGTGCCAATTGGAGGGTGTTACAGGCTGATTGATATCCCGATGAGCAATTGCATCAACAGTGGTATTAGAAAGATCTTCATCTTAACTCAGTTTAACTCTTTCTCTCTCAATCGCCACCTTTCTCGCACTTACAACTTCGGCAATGGAGTCAATTTTGGTGATGGGTTTGTTGAGGTGATAGCATTACATTACATTCCATTAGATTAGATTTATTTATGTTTCTGTGGTATTTGCAGCTAAAGCGTTTTCCTATGGTGGTGATTAGGTTCTCGCTGCAACTCAAACTTCCGGAGATGCAGGAAAGAAATGGTTTCAGGGAACTGCTGATGCTGTTAGGCAGTTTATATGGGTCTTTGAGGTTGTCATTTTTTGTCTATCTTTTTCTCACAGTAAGTGTTTATTGTTGGAAACATAATTTTGATGGTGTTCATGCAGGATGCCAAGACAAAGAATGTGGAACACGTCTTGATCTTGTCTGGTGATCATCTCTATCGGATGGACTACATGAACTTTGTGCAGGTTAGCTTCTAATTATGCGTCTAGTTTGTCGACAATGAGCTTCCTTCATGTGAACTCTGTGTTCATTTATGTTTCTCTGTTCTTGCAGAAGCACATTGAGTCAAATGCTGATATCACAGTTTCTTGTCTTCCCATGGATGAGAGGTGTGTCCGAGAATCATTCATTAACCTTGTTCTTACCTTACTTTTGTTTGATTGATTTCTCCTTTTGTTCTTATTCATAGCCGCGCTTCGGATTTTGGGCTGCTTAAAATCGACAAGTCTGGACAAATCGTTCAGTTCTCAGAAAAACCAAAGGGAGATCACTTGAAGGCAATGGTAAGTGATGATTTCTTTTGTTTATCAAAACGTTTCATTACAACTAAACTCAATATTCTTTGCTTGGAAACTTCAGAAAGTTGACACTTCAATTCTCGGGTTACCACCAAAAGAAGCTTCGGAATTCCCATACATTGCATCGATGGGTGTGTACGTGTTTAGAAAAGAGGTCTTGCTTAAGCTTCTAAGATCAAGTTATCCAACATCCAATGACTTTGGCTCTGAAATCATCCCATTGGCCGTAAAGGAGCATAATGTCCAGGTTTTTCTTCTTCTTCTGTTTAGCATATGGTATCAATCTTTATATGAGCATGTGCTTCCTTTGTTACACACTAACTAAAATAAATGTAACAGGCATTTTTGTTCAATGACTATTGGGAGGACATTGGAACTATAGGATCATTCTTCGATGCCAATTTAGCTCTCACACAACAGGTTTTCGTCGACCTCATTCTCTCTTTTTTTTCTTTCTCATGTTCAAATCTATTTCCTTGTTCTTGGCAGCCTCCTAAATTCCAGTTCTACGACCCGAAAACACCCTTCTTCACTTCTCCACGATTCTTGCCTCCTACCAAAGTTGATAAATGCAGGGTACGCACGTTCTTGAATTCCCTTGTTTCAGATGATGATTCGTCACCAATCCTAAAACGTTTTAAAAATTGCAGATACTTGATTCTATAGTTTCACACGGATGCTTCTTGAGAGAATGCAGTGTGCAGCACTCTATTGTTGGCATACGATCGCGTATAGAGTCTGGAGTAGAGCTTCAGGATACGATGATGATGGGAGCTGATTTCTACCAAACAGAAGCTGAAATCGCGTCACTGTTAGCTGAAGGCAAAGTTCCGGTTGGGGTAGGCGAGAACACCAAGATCAGGTTCAAAACCTTTCTCTAGTGAGATAATCTTATCGTATATACACTATATAGCATTAATCATCATCGTTTTTGCTTGTGTTGTATGTATGTGTGTATATATATATACAGGAACTGTATCATTGACAAGAACGCCAAGATTGGGAAAAACGTGGTCATAGCGAATGCAGATGTATGTTTATTTTTCGTATAATGTTTTCTTTTTGTTGGTTTCTAAGGAAGTGTTTGATCGTGTTGATGTTGGTGTTGGTTTTGGCAGGGCGTGGAAGAAGGAGATAGGCCAGAGGAAGGTTTTTACATCAGATCAGGCATTACCGTTGTGGTGAAGAACGCCACCATTAGAGATGGTCTCGTTGTTTAGTCTATGTCCGATGATTTAAAAAATTTCAGACCAGATGTGTCACTGGTTCATTGTTCAACACTTCAGCGTGGTCCGACCAGATTAAGTTTTAATAATAAATATATTTAAATACAGATTTTAAGAAAAGTTAATAAAAAGTACTTGATTCTAAGTTTGTAAAAGAAAATTAAAATATTAAAAAATGTAGTAAAATTTTATGAGTGTGAAACATGATTGTTCTATAAGTGAACGTCATGGTAAAAGTGTTTAAAATATAAAATTGGAATATGAAAATGTTTGTTAAGAGAGTTTAATTCCCATCATTCGTATGATTTTCTCCAGTAATTACATGTTCTAATTCACTTAATGAATGTAATTACTGACTCATATTTTCTATAAAGTTTTTTGAGGAAATTTCAAAAATACATGACTATTTTTCAAAATTATATATCTGAAATGTCTAGTTTCTTAAAAAATACAGTTTTCTCATAAATTAAGGGAACTCTAAACCCAATAATTTAATCTCTTAACTCTAAAATCTAAACCTTAATAAATAATTAGTGAAAATTAACATCATAAATATGTAGTTTTTAAAAAAAAACTCTAAAGTTTTAATTTAGAAATCTAAAATCACTTTACACAAGTATAAAACAATTTTTTTCAATCCAGCCGGTTCCGGTTTTTCGAAGAATTTAGTAAATTTTTGAGTCAACTACAATTTTGAATTTTTATAGAGCCCAATCTAGATTCTAGCCACCTGTTCATGTTAATATTTAAAATCAGTTTTGTATTTTTTGGGAAGTTTGAATAATTCGTGTATTTTTCTAAAAAATATTATCAAAGTCATATATATTTTCTAATAAGTTTTTTTTTCACTTACTTTTAACCGAAAAATCTTAATAACACCCAAATTTTTAAATTGTTGAAACAAAATTATTTTGTTTTCTTGTCCCTTTATATCCGTTGTTTAGACAGCAACTATCCTTTCTTTTGAAACAATGTAAATCTCTTCTTGTGATTTTTCAAAGATTTTTGAAATCCCAAATTTCTAACTAATTTCACAATCTTTTGAATGAAATTGATCTCTTGTTAATGGAGATCGCTTTCCTCAAAGAGATAGATGATGTAGTAAGATTTGTTATTGGATAAAATTACTTAAGATTGACTTTTATTAAGATTTTTTAGATTATTTTAAAGATTTTTCGGGTAAAACACACAAAATAACTTTGATATCGATCAATATTGATTGCTGTCATAATTTATCTTCTAAGCTTTACAAATCAGATAAAGTATAACACAGGGAAGTTATTGTCTTTTAAATGATTTTTATTTGGATGGGAAGAATCTTACAAACATCTGACATTAATAATTGATAAATTTTGGAAAAATACATGAACGATTTAGCTTCCAAAAAAAATACATAACTTATTCCAAATTTTTGTATTAGTAAACACACATTCAAAAATGATAAATTTTAAGAAATACTGGAGATGCAAATTTTCAAAAATACACATATAGTATGGCAATTTTTAAAAATACAATTTTTCTTAATTTTAAGAGAAATTTTAAGAAATACATCTCTTGAGGTGTAGGTTGTAACTGGTGATCAAGGAATGAGGGGGAATAAGAGAAAAGGCATTGCACAGCCTCCTTACAAGCTCTTTAAACATTTTTAACAATAAAAATACTAATATTTTTAATTTAGAGTTTAGATAAGAATTTTGAAAATTTAGCTTCTACATTGCACAGCTCGGTTTGGAGTTCTTTAAAAATCTGTCTTTACAATCTGCTTCTCCTTTAAGCATTTCATCGAACAGCTTGTATGCATTGACTAAAAAAATAGAATTTTACAGCCGAAAATCCATCACTATCAAACTAAACCAGCCAGCATGAGTCCCATAAATCGCAAAAAACCCATGTGAACTAAACCTACATGTAAACCCATGAGTCCCAAAAAATCCATCAGTCCCTTGATCTCGAAAACCAATTAATAGAAACAGCAACCAAGACAAATTAACTTGTGGCAGATTAACAGAGTGATTGAAGAGAAGAAGAAAACAGGATTGATCGAGGAGAGGAGGAGAAAAAAAGAAAAAATAAATTCTCAGAAAAATAATAAAACCAATAATATAATGACATGTGGCGTGAACAGTGCTAAAGAGACGATTCTATCGTCGCCTCCCATAGAGACGGTTCTGAAGAAGCAGAGCTGCTATATTATTTTTATTTACATTTTTTCTTTTTTTTTTAAACCTCAGAACCTCCTTTGAGCTGTGCAATGCACATGCCCTAAGACAATTCTCCTTCATTCCTTAAAAATTACACCATTTATAAGGAATGTGTATTCCATATTATTCCTTACCATTCCATATTAATGAGGGAATTATAATGTTAAAATATTCCTTATAAAATATGAGGAGGTATGAGTTCCATATATTTTATTCATTTTCATTCCATTCATTCTCATTCTCTTTTTTCCTTTACAGGTCACCAGTTAGAGCCATAAATTTTCAAAACTATACCTATAGTATGACAATTTTAAAAAATACATTTTTTCTAATTTTAATATATATGTTTGGGTTCACTAATCCTAGACTAGGGTTTAGATTTTGGGGTTTAGGGTTCAGATTTAAGGATTCAAGGTTAAATTTTAGGTTTTATAGTTTATATTTTAGGGTTTAGAGTTTTTTTACTTAATGAAAAAAGTGTATTTTTGAAAATGGATACTATAGAGGTGTATTTTTGAAAATTGGCACCTAGAAATGTGTAGTTTTGAAATTTCCTCTAATTTTTATATATATGTTTGGGTTCACTAATTCTAGATTAGGGTTTAGATTTTAGGGTTTAAGGGTTCAATGTTAGATTTTAGGGTTTTGGATTTATGTTTTAAGGTTTAGAGTTCTTTTACTCAATGAAAAAAATGTAGTTCTAAAAATGGACACCATAATAATGTATTTTTGAAAATTGATTTCCCCTTCAAAAATGGAAAGTTTATTTATATTATGTTTAATTACTAAACACTACTGTTGTGGTGAAGAAGCAACCATTAGAGATTTATCCCTCTCTCCTCATTAGGAGCAGTGTGAATATCTGCTTGTGAGCGATAGTTATAGGCTTATAGCAACTTACGCTAGAGGATAAATTTGAATCATATTTTTAGTTTCTTAAAAAATCTTTGAAATGATTCTGAAGATCAAGTTGTTATTAGAATCTTCCAGAAGTTCTTTTCTCTGTCGAGTTATTTTCTAAACAATAACATAGTTAGTATCACTTTTTCATTTAAAAGAAAAATAATAGAAAACATCACTTAAGAAAAAAAAAAAAAAAAAATTAGAGATTGTCTTCATTTATGATGATTTATATATTAGCATTTTTTGTATAAGTTATTTACAAATTATCTAAAAAATTTCATTAATAAAGTTTCCTCTACATGAAAAATATAAAATCGATTTTAATTACAGATTTGTCAAGCAAGTATTAATATATTAGCACGCTTATTTCTATTTTTTTTTTTTCATTAATATCGTTTCCTTTTAATGTATTAAATTTCCTTTTAGATAAATCTTAAGAATCAAGTACAAAATCTTTTCTGACTTAGATATTTTGGCGTTTGACTTTCTCTATATCTCTCTTCCTCTCTTTCTTTGATTTTCTCCACCACCAATCTAAGCAATGACTAACCTAAATGGAGGAGATGTGCATCCGTTGACGGACTCATCATCGTCTCCGTCTCAACAGCTCCGACTTAGAGCTTATCAGAGTATATATGGCATTTTGGATGATTATCTCCCCGTTAACCAAGCTTCTTCATTTTCTCCTTTGTCAGATTTGCAAAACCTAGAATCTAACTTTAGAAGATTGGGAGTCTCCGATTTAAACGCTCGTCAACAGCAGCTGCTCTCGAATAATCGTGGTAGCAATCAATTTCCTTTGGAAACTGGAGATCAAAGTATGATCAGTGTCCGTGAGCACTTCAACCCTTCGCATGTTCAACAACAAACTCAACGAGAACTGATTAATCAGTCGCAGAGACTTTGGTTTCCCAATGATAATCGTGTTCATGGGTATGGTGCGATGGGTTCTCTGCATACTGGCTTAGGAGACGTTTCTTTTTCTCCAAGTTATCGTTTCGTGGATCAAAGCCCTTGGGGTTTTTCACAACGCACTAATCATGATACATATACTGTGAGTGACCCTAGGGCTACAATGCTATCACGTGCTAAAGATCGTGTGGAGTCTCTTCAACTGCAAAGCATGATTGATCAAGGTTCAAGGGAGACGATTGATAAGATATTTGGTGATCTGGTATCTCATGTTTGTGAATTGATGATTGACCCTTTTGGCCATCAAGTCTTTCGAAAGCTTTTGGAGAAATGCAGTGAGGAACAGATCACTCAGGTTTTGGGTATGGTCATCCAGAAACCTATTCAGTTTGTTAGGGTTTGTGGCGATGCAAATGGGTACGCCCTTCTTCTTTTTCTGCTTATGACCATTTGATATGATCTCTCACTAATTTTGTTTTTCTTTTCCTAAGTAGCATTTTTGTAATTGATTTGCAATCTGTCTTTTGTTTTGGAGATAACAGAACTCGTGCAATAAAAGATTTGATGCGATGTCTTTCTTCAGAAGAGCAAATATCCCGCTTCATGGCAACTCTAAGCCATTGTGCAATTCTTCTGACCAAGAGCACCAATGCCAACAATGTGATTTTGTTTTGCTTCAGCCATTTTTCTCCTTTGCAAACCAGTGTAAGCATATCTACTTTTCTCAAGTATTTAGATGTGGAGGTTAAAAATGTAACAAATGCTTCAAATTCTCTTTTGCTTGTGTTGCAACAAAATGAGCAATGAGGGATAATAAATCTAAATTCCTAGAAAACAGTTTGAGCCTATATATGTATGATTTTTACTGACTATTATTTATACTTGACACTGACAGCATCTTCTTCAAGTGATTGCTCGAAATTGTTATCAAATTGCAATTGATCAGTATGGATGTTGTATGCTTCAACAATGCATTGCAAAATCTTCTCGAGAGATAAGGGATCCCTTGATTAGGGAGATAATCACTAACGCTCTGAGCCTTTGCGTGAATTGCTATGGGTAATAAGATGCATTGAGTACAAAAATTACATGATTACACGTTACTTAATCATTTCATATATCGTCATATATAAAAAATATCTATTGTTCCGTTGGTCAGAAATTATGTGGTGCAATATGTGCTGGAGTTGGAAGATTGTCAAGTGGCAGATGCTCTCTCTAGATATCTAGATGGGAACTACGTCCAACTCGCTTGTGACAAGTATGGGAGTCATGCGGTGCAAAAGTTTTTGAAAAATAGACAATTTAACACGAGGAGGATCGTACAAGAGCTGTTATGTGACATTGATTCACTTCTTGTAAATCCGTATGGAAACTATGTGATTCAGACTGCATGGAGTGTATCTCAGGTAAGAGATCATAAACATGTTTGAAGATTCGATTTGTGTGAAATCATCAGCTTAACTATCTTCTTCTTATTTTTGTGTTTTGTAGGATGATATGCAAGGTGAATTATTATACCATATAAACAGGAATCATCCGTTCATGAGGTGCAACAGATATGGAAGAAAAGTACTCGAGAAACTTAAGATTTGGACATAGAAAGACATGTTGTGGAAAATAGATGAGGAGCGACTACATTTAATAATTGCTGTTTGGTGTTTTTTTTATTTTTGTTGGCTTTGACTTAGTGTTGTCACTTGTCAGTGATTTATTTCTGTTGGTTCGTTTTTATTTACATGTTGTTTTTTAGGTTTGTGTAATAGGTCTTATTAGTCAGGGTCACTCGTCTCCTCACCCATCAAACATGTTTTTAAGAGTCATGTGTTACGTGCTTTCTTTGTAAAAGAATCGTATTTATAGTTATATGTTTTATTTTATTTTTACTTATTAGTCAGGCCGTCAGGGTCAAAAGCTAGTGAGGTCAACTACTTATTAGTTATTACTATACTTTGTGTCTCAAAGTCAGTGCTTTATGAGTTTTAGGAAAGGACTCTTCTGCTTAAGGTGCTGCTGCAGAAAATAATCTATATGAAAATCGATTGCATCTACCAACAAGATTTGAAAGTTACAATTTGTTATAATGGAAAGCTGATGAACATAAGTAGTACTGTAGTAGTATAGTTTCACTAAAAAGGAACTAAGAAAGTGTGAAAGACTATGTTCTTTTTTCCTGCTCCACTTTGGCTCTCTTTATTACTTACGCGCATCGATTTTCTACAATCACTATATTCTTTCACACAAAAAAAAATTAAGGTTGTAGTTCAATTTACTCGAATGAATTGAGTAAATATCATATTGTCGCGTTAATTATGACATTATTAAGAGTTCTGAAACAAAACCAGAATATACTATATGCATGGAAGGAAAGCGCCATTGATATTCTCATGAGAGTGATTGCCAATATTGGTGAATTATTAAACTGATTAATACTCTTTGTGCTAAGTAAGTTTTCTCCAAGTGATGTGCTAAGTCAAGAAAGTGAAAGAATAAGTTTTTGTTTTGTTTTTTGTTTTCCTTTGGGTCTCTCAAAGATTGTTTGCAGAAAAGTTGTCATTATCAATGGACCAAACTCGCATGCTCAGTGTTTATCATCACTATTTATAATTACATACACCAGACTCCTTTTATTTTATTCTTTTATATTCCCAACCTCATGTCACCGTTACTTCCCGCCTCACGTTGACGATATCAGAACAGTTTATCATCATATCATATGCACTTTATTTTCTTTCTAGTAGCTACCACAAACGAGCACAAAATCACACAAGGTTTTTTCATAGAAAGCTGTAATGATCGTTTGCTCAAGTGGGTCATTGGTATAGGCTTCCTCTTTACTATAACATCGTAGAACGAACCTCGACTTATAACTTAGATGATCACGAAGTGGCTCTAAATTACTATAAAAATAAAAGATTAATCAGGATTATGTGTAAAGATTTACAGATTTTTCATGCTTTTTAAAAAGGATAATCAATTTTACTGAACACACTTGAGAGTCTATAAGATCCATCGAAAATGGTTATTGTGAGGTAAAGATGATAATGAGTAACAAAACAAAAACTTTTTCCAACTTGGTCCCGTAAATCAACGTACTCTAAGATATTTAAAACCTTCAGAAAAGCAAGACTCTTTTATAAATTTGTGTTAAGTTGACTTTTAATGGCTCATGCTCATGCTCAAGCTCATGCACACCATACGCGTCTATATATTGCTTTTAGCATCATCACACTCAATTGCTTTGTTCTGACTTTAATTTCCATCTCTAAGGGCATGCCTTTCGTGTTCTTTAAGGCTAATTGCTCACTAATTTATGCTGCTTTAAAATAAAGTATAGTCTATATTATATAATCATGAATATATTATGAATCTGTATATACTTCTTTTGTGGAACAAAAAATCAAATTCTAGCAACTATTATTTATTTTTCCAAATTTATGACAATTGGACATGTCTAGTTTTATATTGATGATTGATTATTTGCACGAGCAGTATCGGAAGAGATATTAAGAACCGTACTAAGGCCAAATTCACCAAATCATTATATTTTTTTTCTATAAACCCATGCATGATAAATATTTTCATGGAATATAACAATTGTGAACATATTTGTTCTGTTGCTCTATTACTATTTGTTCAGCGCGAAATTGCTAAATTTATCCCATTTGATAACATGGATATGGCCTTTGCTTTCAGTCCATTTGAATATCCTGAAAAATGGTCTCGTTGTGGGATGCATCTCCTCCAAAGATTAATCTTAGATTTTCCATAAACCTGAGATTTACTCTAATTATAAAAAAAATAAAAGAAAATAAATAAACAATCTTGATTTTTCAGTAAGCCGGAGGGTGGAGCAATATAACAAGCTTCATAAACCTTTAAAAATCAACCATTAGTAAAGTTATTTGGCTAAATTTCACTATGAGACTTTTTATGAATAAGGATGGCTTTGTAATGATGATTGTTGATACAATGGAATATTTTGTCGCTAAAATGCTTTGCTTTAACAGCCGTATTGATGGGAAGATGATAAAATTAGGATAAATATGAGTTGGTTCTCTGATATCTCCGATCAATACACAAGCAAAACTAGATTCAACTAGAAACGCGTTGTGACTTTACCATTATCACTCAAATAAACTTGATATTTCATATTTGTATAATGTACAATATTCATTTTTAAATTCTTTTCAAAACAGGCCAGTCGTGTAAAACGTATTCATTTCAATGTGAAAAAAAGGAGTATAAAACAAATTCAAAAGAACTGAAATAGGGGAAAAGATAATATATTCTGCGATTTGTAACCTGAAGAAAAATGAGAATAGCCAAAAACAAAACAAAAAGTAAAAAGGAACCGGAAATTGCAAATTAAGTTTCAAAAGAAATGGTTGATTAAAGAATTAAATTCGACATTTATATGCAATCTTCCCTTCAACGCAAACATTTCTCATTTCTTTTCTGAAGCTTTAGCACCAACAAACCTCTCTCTCTCCGTCTCCCACTGACACTTCCTTCTTCGAGAATGGATAAGAAGCACGGCCTATTCTCCAAGTCAAATTCCCGGCGATCACGATCGAAGAGCCCGGTGAGAGGCGTCTCTCCGATCATCATCCGTCGCCGGAAAGGTCGTTACGTCTCGCAGCCGGACCGCCACATGTCTGAGATGCTCCCGCCGGTTAGGGAAGGTCCTGATCCAGACGGAGATGATTCCAGCAGCAGTGGAGACTACTCGAGGTTCGAGAGACGGTGGTACAATTGGATGAAATGTCAGCTACCGGTAGCTCCGCCGTCGGTATCGTCGTCTCCGGGCTTAAGAAGGACGGATCTGAGGCTTTTGCTCGGTGTCCTTGGCGCACCACTTGGTCCTGTTCACGTTAGTGCTCTGGATCTCCTTCCTCATCTCAGTATTAAGAATACTCCCATGGTGAGTGTTAATTCCACACCTCAGTATTTAACTCGAATTTGGATTTTAATCCTGAGGATTTGTGCTCTTCTGGTGCCATAATCTTGGTTGAATTTCGCTGAATCTTATTTTCGTTGATTTAGTGTTCCTTCTTCCTCAAATTTTACTCTTCTGGTTTCTGTCATTCTGCGAATCCAGTTAGGAGAAAAAGACTAATCTGAATTGTTTACTTGAATTTCAGGAAACCTCCTCTGCTCAGTACATTCTTCAGCAGTATACGGCTGCATCAGGTGGTCAAAAGCTCCACAGCTCTGTGCAAAACGGATACGTTATGGGAAGAATCAGGACGGTGGCTTCAGAGTTTGAGACAGGCACAAAGGGCTCAAAGAGCAAGAATAGTTCTTCAAAAGCTGTAGAGTCTGGAGGATTTGTGCTGTGGCATATGAATCCTGACATGTGGTACATGGAGCTTGTTCTTGGTGGGAGCAAGGTCCTTGCAGGTTGTGACGGGAAGCTTGTGTGGAGGCACACGCCATGGCTTGGCCCTCATGCTGCAAAAGGCCCTGTTAGACCATTACGACGCGCTCTTCAGGTCAGTCCTCTTTGTCCCAAGGAAAGTTTCTCATGCATTTTTTTTTGCTTGCATGATTGATTAAACTGTTGCTGTTGTATGCTTTCAGGGACTTGACCCGAGAACCACAGCGAGCATGTTTGCAAATGCAAGGTGCATAGGAGAGAAAAAGATGGACGGAGAGGACTGTTTCATTCTGAAGCTATGCGCAGACCCAGCAACACTCAAAGCTAGAAGCGAAGGGGCATCAGAGACCATAAGACATACTTTGTTCGGTTACTTCAGCCAAAAAACGGGTCTTCTCGTTCACTTGGAAGACTCTCAGTTAACCCGAATCCAAAACATTGGAGGCGAAGCGGTTTACTGGGAGACGACCATCAATTCATACCTAGAAGACTACAAACCCGTCGAAGGTATCGTGATTGCTCACTCTGGTAGATCAGTGGCTACACTCTTAAGGTTTGGAGATATGTCATCGGGACATAACACTAAGACCACAATGCAAGAAGCTTGGGTCATCGATGAAATCTCGTTCAATGTCCCTGGCTTGTCTATGGATTGCTTCATTCCACCTTCTGAGCTCAGATTTGATTCCCACGTTGAAGACTTATCTCAAGGCCCCAAAATTAAGACATTGCAGGGCTCAGTAGCGAGCCGCTAGAAAAATGGCTTATGTTTGGAAACAGGTCTCAGTGAAGAACTTTGGATCAAATGTGTATAATAACTCATTTAAAACAAACCTTAGATTGGTTTCTTCTACTTGGTATTGTTGAAGCTAAAATTCTTGTAGGAAGTTTCGTTGAAGATGTAAATAGAGCGCAGGAATGTGTATAGTCTCTATTCGAGGGCTATTTTTCATTATCAGTTTAGTAAGTCAGTCCAATTTTAGATTTTATAATATGGTTTCAAGTACGTTACATATCTTTGATAGAATATGTTGTACACAATGTTCCTTTTCTTCAGGATACTCTGTGAAGAGCCTGGGTATTTTTTCACCGAATAGCCTAAAAAATATTAGTCGTCATACATACCGACTAAAGCTGATGAATACTAATTTCCTTGTTTTGTATATTTATAAGTTCATAGTCGACTGCAGTGTCTATTGTAGCACAAACTAAACCGTTCTTTTTTTTTTTTTTTTGTATGTATATAACCAATGTTTTGATTTGTTATTGCTCCTGCTATCAATTCATTCACAACTTTAAGTCCACAATGAAGAACAAACCATGTCTGTTTGAAATGGGATATTAGTCTGTAGTGGACTACTAGCCTGTTTCGTCTTCTTTCTCATTCTCTTTTTTTTTTAACACATTCCCCCATTCAAAAGCTTATGTTTGATTGTGTTATTGAATCTTGTATTTTTAAATGAAAATTTGAATTTTCATAATTTGAATCAGATATTATTAGGCATCAAAGTCGTTGTAGTATAGTGGTAAGTATTCCCGCCTGTCACGCGGGTGACCCGGGTTCGATCCCCGGCAACGGCGTTAATATTTTGGTAAATTTCATTTTTGTCCCTTAACTAATAAAATCTATAATATTGATTTCGATTTTATTTTTATATCAACAATGTCGTTGTAGTATAGTGGTAAGTATTCCCGCCTGTCACGCGGGTGACCCGGGTTCGATCCCCGGCAACGGCGATGATTTTTTAAAACTTTCACCAGGTTGGTTAATAATGATATAACCGGTTCATCAGAAATTAAGATTTAACTACAGTATCCGGATAAGGGGGGGGGTTGAAGCTGAACCGGTCCTATTGATTTGGATACTCGCTAAACAGCTTGTATTCACTTCTTTTTTTCTTTTTCAGTTTTCAGTTTTCACGTTCTTCTTCTTTTTCGTAGCGGGAGCAATCTACCAGATTCTCCAACAAACAAAGGTATCGGTTTATTCAGATTCAGCATTTGTACTCTTTGCCTCCACCAAATCGATTCCTAATTTATTTTTCTCTCTTCTGAAGATTATGGTGCTCTCTGACTTCACCGGAGTCGGCGTTGGATTCGGTATATGCCCAATTCGCAATTTATTTGGCCTTCTCTATCCGATTCGACTTGTAATTTTGTTATCATTAATGGAATTTTCTAGGGTTCGGTGTTGGCTGTGGATTTGGCGTTGGATGGGGGTTTGGAGGTTCCTTCACTAATTCTCTCTCTCTCTCGACTTGTTATCGTTTACTTGAATTCCATGGGAGTAGATTATACTGAGCTGAGACTGGATTAGAAGTTAATTCGATCTATACTAGTTTTGATGGTCTAATTGGTTAAAAGATGGAATGATCAAGAGACAATTGTTAACATTTGGGATAAAAGCTATTATATTGCGGAATGTCTCAGTACCCTTACATATTTTTCTTCATATCATCATCACTCAAATGCTTCTTCTTTCATCATCTTTTCTTTGTAATGATGTGCAAATTGGTGTTTTCTTGTGCTTGTTATCTGATGGTATTATGCTTAAACCTCATGCCGATAACAAGCACACACACGTCCTACTAAATTGTAGATTTTTTTTATGCTTTCTTGCAGGAATGCCTTTGAATGTATTAGGCGTTGGTGTAGGTAAGCAACATTAAAACATGTCTTTTATATACATCTCTACACAAGCAGATGATGACAATGGTGAATCTTTCCTCAAGCTACAAAACTGATAATTGTATTTTGAAGGTGGAGGTTGTGGGGTGGGTCTGGGCATCGGTTGGGGTTTCGGGACTGCCTTTGGGAGTCACTACCGATCATCTAGACTTACCTTTCAAGGGATCCAGTTAGACAAGCCTGTTAAACCTGAGGAAACCATGTCCAAAAACACTTAGCGGTCTACGTCTGCTTCAATAAAGTGGGATTTTACTACCAAATCTGAAATCTCTTCTTGGATTGATTGTAAAAGATAAGAATGTGTGAAATCTTTTCTTATTTTTCAGTCAAACTCACTTATTGAATTATCAAATCAAATACGCGTTTCTCCACAATGTTCCACTGTAGAATGTGTTTACAACGAAACACTCTCAAATAATCGAACCAAAAATGCATTTCTATGTTACAAAACAACCAGGAAAACAATGGAATTACTACTGTACAGTAAAAATGTAGATTTGCCAAAATCCGTCTCTTTCTCAGTTTTGAAGCAATCCGGTACACAGAAGATGAATGAACAAACTCGAGCTTAACCTGTCTTCTTCTTCTTCCTCTACATTGTATGCACTGCGACTACCACTGCAATGACAAAATACAAAATCATAAAAAGACTTTAGAGGATGCAAGCATTTGTTTCTAAAGTGACTGCAGAGATAAGCAAAACTCGGTTTACCTAAAAGAAAAATTAAGAGAAGAATCCATATAGCAGCTTGAATAGATCTATTGCTATATCGCATTCGATATTGAGACCGTTGAAGCTGCCTCTGTAGAGCTCCATACCAACCGTGAAGCTGCTTTTCGTAACACTCCTCCATACAGCTCTTGTCCCTCTCAACATTTCCATTTACTTGGTTCGCTTGGACAGGTAGTAACATAGCATCAGAGTCTCCCTGACGATCTAAGGCCTTCCACTTTCTAATGCAGTTCTTGGAACCAGGTTCCATATAATTCAAGAACCCAGAGACGCTAGGCACTTTCCGTGGAGGTCGAACCGGTGGTTCACGTTCATCAGAGGGTTTTGGCGGTAAACCGTCGTCAGAAACCGCAATGTTCCAAGCACCAATATCAGGAGTAGCACTTGCCGTCCTTCTATGTCCATGTGGCTTTGCTTCTTGAAGCTGATTCACTTTGACACCATTTGTGGAAAGTTTCTTCTTTTCAGAATCAGAAGGTCCAGTCAAGAAGAGGGCAAGCTCATTACGATCGTCTTCATCCAAACGCACCCATCTCGGAGTTCCTTTGCCATCGGATTGCGCTGCTTCCTTGAGAGACTTCTCGATTTTCGCAACCTGAGTCTCCATTGCCAAAGTGAACTCGCGGTGCCTGTCTCGAGTATCGTCACCTAAACGATTGTCATAGCTAGATTGGACAGCTCGATGGAATTCATCTAACTGCACCAAAGAAGATTATGACTACACTGCAAACAATTCTGAGAAGAGAGATGAGGAGAGAGAGAGAGAGAGAAATGAACCTGCCATTTGGTGGTTCCAAGAGCAGCGTGAAGGTCCCTGTGAAGCTGCTCCGAGTCCCATACATTTGAAGAGTCTTTTTTCTTGAGGATCCATGTCCTGTACGCTGACTCCATCCTGCACATCAAATCCAACATTTTGGGATTTCAGATCTATAGAAATTTTGATTATCAGAATCCGAATTATATCCAAATCCCAAGTAAATTGACAGATCCAGAACCAAAATTTGAGAAGGGAATCCGGAAAATGTAAACCACCTGTCGGCAGATTCCTGAACTTCTTCAGCAGCGGAGAAGAAAGGATCCTTCTCCCACCGATCCAGACTCGTCGTCATCGTGATTTCCTAACGAAGAAAAAACCTAACAATCTTGGAAGATCAAAAACCCAGAAAGCAACAGAGACTAAAATGGCGATGGATCGAAAGATTTCAGAGGGGCTGAGAAGGGAGCGACGTTCATCGATTAACCCAAATTACGGCCCTTCGTTAACACCACACGTGCGTAAAAATAGTACGTTTTGTTTTCTTCGAAGACAAACCCCACTATTTCGGGTTTTAAGATTTTTTTGGGGAGAAATTGCTATAAATAATGCAAAAGAAAACTCAGATTACGAAACAAATCGAGTTTGTAAAAACTAACATTACCACAACTCGTTAATTAGCTTACAATATTCTCCAATTTCTCGTTAGTGACATTTCCACTAATGTCGCCTCTATGTCATTGTCACCACTCACCACCACCATCATCTCTCCACTGTAAAAAGAAACGTCCTTGATCATCAAAAATCTCTCAGATATTATTCTTAGGGGTGTTATTGGTTGCATAAGTATAAATCAATTAAAAAAAAAAAAAAAAACCCAAATGAAACACTAAGCTTTCTTATGAGTACCCTAAGCTAAGAGTTGTCTTTTTTTTCTTTTCTTTGGTCATCTTTTGTGGGCCACAATAGACTAGCCCACGGAAGAAAATTATCCCCACATGAGTAAAAGTGGAGTCAAACTCCACATGAAATAGATGCAGAGGTGTGCAACTACTGGGCCACTTGCTCCTCTTAGTTAGGAGTTGTCTATCATTTTAACTTTGTCGAATAGACAGATTATAATTCTGATATTTATCTAAATACTTAGATTTTATGCACACTGTTAATAGTAAAAAGTTTTGTGAGTCGGTAAACCAAATTTCGTTTTGGTATTGGTACTCCACTTATGATTGTCCTAAATTCTGAAATTTATCAGATTGTCATGTTTGTGTCTAGTATTGTAAACATATGACTAATGCTAGATAAGTTTGTGGGAATGAGTCTAAAACTAATAACATCAGATGTTTATTTTTGTGACCATTTTGAATTTGAAAGAATGAAAAAATGCATGATTTTGAGTTATCTCCAAAAATGCGGAGGAAACTTTGCTTACCATATAAAGTCATTTACAAGATGTTATATATATGAGTGCCAATTGCAGTGCCACCTCCTTAAACCATTGAACAATTGATCTCAAATGGAGTAATTTGAATCTGATCAAATTCAAATGCATGACAACCTAGGATTCAATTAAAGGTGTGTCATGAGATATAATTGTAAAATCATCAAGAGAAATGAATTAAAAACAGGTCGACGATCTATTTCCCCACAAGAAGTATGCCGTCGCATTAGATCCACCTCAAACTTTGGCCTCATTTTATTTCCCCATCATATGAAAGTTTCAGATCTAAATCCCCACGAATATAAAGTTGTAAACTCATTTCCCCCTGGATTCATAGTTTTATACTCAAATCCACAAAGAGCTATGGTTTTGTTGGTTTACTATTCGTAAAACATGGTTACTATTTCCGAATCGCGTATTAACCGGACTAAACAAGTCCAAGCCCGTTTTATGACCCGATTACAATGAATAAACCATGTTTCAGTTTCCCTTAACCATCCGTCCGAAAATCCCCAAATTACTGTTACCTTTGAACCCTAAATTTCAAAATCGAGAGAAATCTCAAGAAATTGAGAGAGAAATCTTCTGGAAATCCTTTCTAATAGCTTGTATTCTTGTATGGGCATGGATGTAGTCCGTCGAAATGGTGGAGGCACATGGGAATTTGATGAAGAAGCAGGCGAAAGAGATGAGTTTCAGATTGACCAACTTTTGCGCGATTTCGAAGATGAAACTCCGATTAACCACGACGTCTTGCCTGAGACTGATGACGAAGCAGAAGCAGAAGGCGGTGCTCAACAGAAAATGCGTTCGGAGATAAAACGTGGTGATGGGCATTTGTATCAAAGTCAAACATTCTTCAATGGGGTAGCTTTTAAAGAGAGAGTTCTCAATTATGCTCTTAGAACATGCTACAACATCAAACAAACCAGGTATGACAAGGATAAGATTAGTTTTGAGTGTGTTGGTTGTAATGAGAAGTATGAAGGTTGTGAATGGAGAATTTATGCATCGATTCATCCAAAAGATGCAGTCTGGAAAGCTAGGTTGTTTGTGGATAAACATACGTGTGAGGTTACTGGGGAATGTGAAATGATAAAGGTCCCTGTTATAGCTAGATTGTTTGTTGATAAGATCCGTGAAGAACCAGAGTACTATATGCCAATGAAGATAGAAGACTTAGTCATGTCGAATTGGGGAATTAGTGTGTCTAGGCCTCAATGTCAAGCTGCAAGAAATACGGATTTGAAGTGGATTCGTAGTGAAAATGCTCACCAGTTTTCAAGTTTACGAGATTACGCTGCTGAGATAGTACACTCAAACCCTGGTTCGTCTGTCGAAGTTGATACTATCCAGAATGAAGCGAAAGAAGATGTGTTCAGCCGGTTTTATGTTTGCTTTGATGTCCTCAGAAAGACATGGAAGGATTCGTGCAGACCATTGATAGAACTTGATGGTTGTTTTTTGAAAGAGAGAATCAAGGGACAATTGTTGGTCGCTTTAGGCAGGGATGCGGATAATTCTATATATCCAATTTCTTGGGGTGTGGTGGAGGTGGAAAACAATGAGAATTGGCAATGGTTTGTGAAAAAGCTGAAGGTTGATTTGGATCTAAAGGATGGTGATGGGTTCATTGCTGTTTCAGACTGTCATAAGGTAACTTCTTGTCAACATTTTTTGTTTTTTCGAATGTAAAAAGATGGTGATGCAATGACTTACTTAATTGTTCTGTTTCAGAGTTTAATGAGGACTATTAAGATAAAGTTACCAAAGATGGAACACGGAAAGTGTGTAAGACACATTTATGGGAATTTGAAGAAGAGCCATGGAAGCAAAAAACATATGAAGCCATTCATATGGAATTTGGCATGGAGCTACAATGAATCAGAGTTTCAAGAGAACTTGGACAGATTAAGGTGCTATGATACAAGAGTCTATAATGACGTTATGGCGTCAAATCCTAGGAGTTGGTGCAAAGCTTTCTACAAGCTGGGAAACTACTGTGAAGATGTTGAGAACAACTCCACAGAATCTTTCAACAGCTCCATTAACAAGGCAAGAGAGAAGCTGTTTGTGCCTATGCTAGAAACAATAGCAAGGCTTGCTATGGCGCGTATTGCCGTAAGATCTCGAGAATCTCATGAGCACACAGGTAATCTTGCTTCAATGATGATTTTTGTGATTTTGTTTGTTTTCATGCATTTATCTTGACATATTTGTCTGATTTTGTCTTTCATTGTCAGGAAAGTGTACACCTTATGTCTCTAAAGTTCTCGCTATAGCCTTTAAAGATACAAAGACTCAAGATGGAGCAAAGAAATGTGTAGTGACTAGAAGTGTTAAAGGCTTCTTTGACTCAAGGCTGAATGGACAAACTCACCGTGTTTCTTTGGACAGTTGGTCGTGTTCTTGCAGGAAGTGGGACATCACTGGAATACCATGTAAGCATGCTTATGGTGTGATCTTGAAGCTGAAGCTTGATGTTGAAGATTATGTGTGCCACTGGTTTCGGACACTTATGTGGAGAAGAAACTATACAGATGGACTAATTCCAATTAGAGGTTCTCGGTTTTGGCCAGCAACAGATTCTCCGGATGTTCATGCTCCACCTGAACCAGAAGTACCAGAAGAAGAAGCAGCATCAAAAGAAGCAGGAAAAGAATCAGCAAAGAAGAAGCTCACCAAGGCTGACAAGACAAGGAAGAAAGGTGTTAATGAGTCTCCAACTAAGAAGCAACCAAAAGCGAAGAAGAGGATCATGCATTGCGGAATTTGTGGTGCGCCTAATCACAACTCGAGGTTTCACAAGGATGATTCTTCACAGATATGTGTTTCTGTTTCATTTTAACTGTTATGTGTCACTGTTTTTTTTTGTTGAGTCTTATGTTTGAATCTTATGTTTCTGTTTCATTGTAACTGTTATGTGGTACTGTTTTTTTGTTTGAATTTTGGTTGTGAGTCATATGTTTCTATTTTGTATTATGTTTTCTTTCATAGAAACTGTTGGAAGGTCGCTCAGGGCTTGGAGAATCCTCACAAGGAACTCTCACTCAACCCAATGCTTCTCAAACACTTGAGTGAAGCGATTGGTTTAGTATTTTTCAGTTTTCATCGGCTAAGTAGGACCTTATAATTATGCTTTTGGCAATGGATTATGATACCTTTTGTCATGTTTTTGATACACTTTGTTCGGCTTTTTGGTTATGGATTATGATAAATTTGTTCAGCTTTTTGGTTATGGATTAAGATACATTTTGGTCATTCTTGTATTCTTGATATCGCCAAGCGGGTCTACGGTTCTGGGTTTATGGGTCTGGTTTTGGTATGATTTGAGTTTTAGTTTGGTTTACTAAGGGGATCGATGGGTTGGTATTCGGGTTTTGCTATTGAACCATCGTATTTGAATTCAGGGGGAAATGAGTTTACAACTTTATATTTGTGGGGATTTAGATCTGAAACTATCATATGATGGGGAAATAAAACGAGGCCAAAGTTTGAGGTGGAACTAATACGACGGCATACTTTTTGTGGGGAAATAGATCGTCGACCCATTATGACTTAAGAGAAGTTTGGTGAGGGGGTAACCCTATTTAACTGATTGGATATCCCAAAAAATAGATTCAAGAGAAAACTAAGTCAAACTGAATTTGCTAAAAGCACTATAAAACTCATGTTTCTTCCCAATTCTAGGATAATAAATAGTGCTACAATGTATATTAGAGGATGTAAAAGATAATAAAAAATAAATATTGTATTATTTAATATATAAAGATATTTACAGATTTGTATCTATTTAGTTTACAATATTCTTCCAATCACAAGCTCTCATCACATCTAACAGAGTAATCATTTTTGCTGCATTTTGAAGGAGTTGCACAGAGAGGTTGTGAGTTTGCCATGCTGGCCACAGCGCTTGCTATAGGTGTCTACAGCAGTTCCATGTGGCCAAAGCTTTAACCACCAGAAAATTTTACCATCTATATACAAAGGCAGTTTTTGATTTTTAGTGCTGTACAAACTTGCCAAATATTTTTATTCCAATCAAAAGATGAATTGGCGGAATTTTTTTTTTTTTTTTGACTCAAACATCAAATTAAAAGAAACCCATTTTCAACTAAAAGAAACTTTAACTTTTCTTTTGACAATTCAAAAATGTAACAAAAAAGGATTTCAAACAAGAATATAATTTCAAAAATGTCAATTAGGTATTTATATATAGATTTAAGGTCAAAATATTCAAATAAAGTTTAATATGAAACTACTTTCTAAAAAATCAAATGTATAGAGAAAAAATAAGACACATAGAAAATGTAATAAGGGCTAATTTGCTCAATAACAATATTGAGAATTAAGAATATAGCTATCATAAATGAAAAAATTTAGAGAATAACAAAGAGAAATGTTTTTGGACAATATTCTCCTTCCATAATTGAGATAATTTCCTTCCACACACAAAGAAAAAATGGTAACTTTCCCTCCAAAATATTTTGTTGATGTCACATTAGTATAAATACAACAAGAATAAGTGAACATATGTACAAACTTTGGTGCATGTAAACGAGAAACACATTACTCGAAAGGTTTTTTAACCAAAAAACACATTACTCTAAGTATTAAACTCTAAACTCTTAAACTTCAACTTTAAACAATAAATTTTAACCTTTGCACAAAAAAAAACAATAAATTTTAACCCCATGACCCCAAAAATAAATCCTAAACCTAACCCCTTAACCCAAAAATCCTAAATCTGAAACCCAAACCTAAACCCCTATCCTAACAACGTTCTATGTGTAAGCTTTTTTCCGCTATGTTTAGTGGGAAACTAGCTAAGTAAATAGTCGTGCGCCATGTGAAAACCATGTATCTTGATTTAAAATATTTTTATCATTTCGTTGCCGAAAACAACTAAATGTAGACTATACTATACTACCAGCTCTTTAGACTATAAATCAAACCGGTTTAAGTTTTAATGAAAAACCAAGTATTTCCACAAAAAAAAATTATGTGAGAAGCTACAGAAATCACCCTTAAAAAACTATACATTGAGTTGTTTCAGAAGTGTGAGACCACCAAATCTGATCTTACAACCTTCATAGCAACTTCAGACGAATTCATTGTATACGAGAAAATAAATTACTTGCAAAAATGTGGGTTATAAAAAAAATGGAATAAGTATACATGTGTGTTTGAAGGACTGTCTTATTGAACTTTGGCGAAAAGTCATTTATCGATTTCCTTTTATGATCAGTTTTTCTTTTCTCGAGCCTCCGTAACTTCACTGTACGTCGAACCTAGTTCAGGTGAGGGGGTAACCCTATTTAACTGATTGAATATCCCAAAAAATAGATTCAAGAGAAAACTAAGTCAAACTGAATTTGCTAAAAGCACTATAAAACTCATGTTTCTTCCCAATTCTTAGGATAATAAATAGTGCTACAATGTATATTAGAGGATGTAAAAGATAATAAAAAATAAATATTGTATTATTTAATATATAAAGATATTTACAGATTTGTATCTATTTAGTTTACAATATTCTTCCAATCACAAGCTCTCATCACATCTAACAGAGTAATCATTTTTGCTGCACTTTGAAGGAGTTGCACAGAGAGGTTGTGAGTTTGCCATGCTGGCCACAGCGCTTGCTATAGGTGTCTACAGCAGTTCCATGTGGCCAAAGCTTTAACCACCAGAAAATTTTACCATCTATATACAAAGGCAGTTTTTGATTTTTAGTGCTGTACAAACTTGCCAAATATTTTTATTCCAATCAAAAGATGAATTGGCGGAATTTTTTTTTTTTTTTTGACTCAAACATCAAATTAAAAGAAACCCATTTTCAACTAAAAGAAACTTTAACTTTTCTTTTGACAATTCAAAAATGTAACAAAAAAGGATTTCAAACAAGAATATAATTTCAAAAATGTCAATTAGGTATTTATATATAGATTTAAGGTCAAAATATTCAAATAAAGTTTAATATGAAACTACTTTCTAAAAAATCAAATGTATAGAGAAAAAATAAGACACATAGAAAATGTAATAAGGGCTAATTTGCTCAATAACAATATTGAGAATTAAGAATATAGCTATGATAAATGAAAAAATTTAGAGAATAACAAAGAGAAATGTTTTTGGACAATATTCTCCTTCCATAATTGAGATAATTTCCTTCCACCCACAAAGAAAAAATGGTAATTTTCCCTCCAAAATATTTTGTTGATGTCACATTAGCATAAATACAACAAGAATAAGTGAACATATGTACAAACTTTGGTGCATGTAAACGAGAAACACATTACTCGAAAGGTTTTTTAACCAAAAAACACATTACTCTAAGTATTAAACTCTAAACTCTAAAACTTCAACTTTAAACAATAAATATTAACCTTTGCCCAAAAAAAAACAATAAATTTTAACCCCATGACCCCAAAAATAAATCCTAAAACTAACCCCTTAACCCAAAAATCCTAAATCTGAAACCCAAACCTAAATCCCTATCCTAACAACGTTCTATGTGTAAGCTTTTTTTCCGCTATGTTTAGTGGGAAACTAGTTAAGTAAATAGTCATGCGCCATGTAAAAACCATGTATCTTGATTTAAAATATTTTTATCATTTCGTTGCCGAAAACAACTAAATGTAGACTATACTATACTACCAGCTCTTTAGACTATAAATCAAACCGGTTTAAGTTTTAATGAAAAACCAAGTATTTGCACAAAAAAAAAATTATGTGAGAAGCTACAGAAAGCACTCTTAAAAAACTATACATTGAGTTGTTTCAGAAGTGTGAGACAACCAAATCTGATCTTACAACCTTCATAGCAACTTCAGACGAATTCATTGAATACGAGAAAATAAATTACTTGCAAAAATGTGGGTTATAAAAAAAATGGAATAAGTATACATGTGTGTTTGAAGGTCTGTCTTATTGAACTTTGGCGAAAAGTCATTTATCGATTTCCTTTTATGATCAGTTTTTCTTTTCTCGAGCCTCCGTATCTTCAGTGTACGTCGAACCTAGTTCAGGTGAGGGGGTAACCCTATTTAACTGATTGGATATCCCAAAAAATAGATTCAAGAGAAAACTAAGTCAAACTGAATTTGCTAAAAGCACTATAAAACTCATGTTTCTTCCCAATTTCTAGGATAATAAATAGTGCTACAATGTATATTAGAGGATGTAAAAGATAATAAAAAATAAATATTGTATTATTTAATATATAAAGATATTTACAGATTTGTATCTATTTAGTTTACAATATTCTTCCAATCACAAGCTCTCACACATCTAACAGAGTAATCATTTTTGCTGCACTTTGAAGGGAGTTGCACAGAAAGGTTGTGAGTTTGCCATGCTGGCCACAGCGCTTGCTATAGGTGTCTACAGTAGTTCCATGTGGCCAAAGCTTTAACCACCAGCAAAATTTTACAATCTATATACAAAGGCAATTTTTGATTTTTAGTGCTGTACAAACTTGCCAAATATTTTTATTCCAATCAAAAGATGAATTGGCGGAATTTTTTTTTTTTTTTTGACTCAAACATCAAATTAAAAGAAACCCATTTTCAACTAAAAGAAACTTTAACTTTTCTTTTGACAATTCAAAAATGTAACAAAAAAGGATTTCAAACAAGAATATATTTTCAAAAATGTCAATTAAATATTCAAATAAAGTTTAATATGAAACTACTTTCTAAAAAATCAAATGTATAGAGAAAAAATAAGACATATAGAAAATGTAATAAGGGCTAATTTGCTCAATAACAATATTGAGAATTAAGAATATAGCTATGATAAATGAAAAAATTTAGAGAATAACAAAGAGAAATGTTTTTGGACAAT